TCACCCTCAATTTTTATTACATTTTCTGATGCATATTGATGTACTTATGCTGTGTAGAAAGCTTGAGCTGATTCTGATTTCAATTTTTCAAGTTACTGCCATTTTAAGAAAACGCTAAATTCTGAAAAAATCCCTGTACTATAGCCCATGGTTTTTTCTGAAAAATGGCTAAAAAATCATCCAAAATTTTTATTACATTTTCCAATACATATTGATGTCCTTATGCTGTGTAGAAAGTTTGACCTGATTCCAACTTTAATTTTTCAAGTTATGGCCATTTTAAGAAAACGCCAAAATTCTTTAAAATCCCTGTACTATATAAAGCCCATGGTTTTTTCCAAAAAATGGCTAAAAAATCACCCCCCCCCCCCATTTTTATTACATTTTCTGATACATATTGATGTCCTAATGCTGTGTAGAAAGTTTGAGCTGATTCCGATTTCAATTTTTCAAGTTACTGCCATTTTAAGAAAATGCAAAAATTCTATAAAATTCTTTTGAGTTGTACATGTACATAAAATATAAATTTCTAAAATCAGCTATGAAACATGTCCCTTTAAATTTTTACATACATAACATAAAGTTCTACAAAAACCATTCTCTTCCATACCTGCTAGAATTGCTTTATGAGCTTTAAATTCGGTGGTCCCAACAGAAAGTGTCACATCATGAAAGCTTCCCTTTTCCATGAGACAGCCAATATCAGAGGAGAGATTACAATCAGGGACAACAGGTCTATGGCCAAGACTAGTAGTACCACTTGTATTGACAGCATCAGCTACCACACTGACCTGTGGAGAGAGTCCAGTAGGTCAGTATTGTAATGTATTCAAGCTTTTTATTTACTTCACAATAAATTGTTAATTTGTCTTCAGGCAATAGCCCATTCGTATCGTCAAATAGAAAATCCCTTCTTATGAATTTCTTGAATCCCCAGTCTTTGCCTCTAACAAACCTGTAGGCACGCTGGGATTCTACGAAATAAAACAAAAACATGAAAACTGCAACAAAAATGAATACTAAAGTCCATTTGTGTTCACCTGAGCCCTCGTTTTCTTGTAATAACTTTTGAATTACAAGTTCTATTGTAAAAATAAACATACCAGTGCATTCATCTCCTTTTGCTGCATCTATTGTGATACTTAAGAAGTAGCTGTAGCTTTTTAGCTCCAAGTTGGTTGTATATCCCATGCAGAAAGTACAGCCATACTTTTCACAATATTATTTCATTGTGTTAATTATTGGGTGGGGTCAGTAATCACTTCCTGGGCTCAGGTGAATGCAAATGCACTTTAATACAAATGCACATGCAAACAATTCCAATGCCAAAATTTGTGCATTTTGAGAAATTTATTTTTGCTAAAGATGATACTATACAGTACGTGTACTAAAGAATCCTGATTTAATTCTAATGGGAATTTTTGATGAAATAAAACAATTAGCCG